GAAGCAAAAATAAGTGACGAACAAACAGAATTTAAAAACGATAATTGTCCTTTTAATATATGAACATCATTTGACAACACTGTTTTTGAAAAAAGTAAAAAATTCTCCGAAGATACCTCTTCTTCAAAGGCAGTTTTGGAGGTTCACAGATACCTTGAAGATGATATACTAGACTGGAAAAAAGATCCATTGAGGTGGTGGGATGAACATAAATATGTTTATCCCAACTTAAGTAAATTTGCAAAAGTAATATCTTGCGCGTTAGCAACGTCGGTGCCTTGTGAAAGTTTATTTTCCAAAGCTGGAAATATTTTAAATTAGCGGTGAACGCGCTTAAGTGCAAAAAATGTGCAACAATTGTTGTTTTTAAATATGAATCATAAATATGCAAATATGTAATGTACTCGTAGTACTTAGTACAAATTAAGTAACTATTTATGTTACACTCTTGTTTTTCTATTATTTAATACATATATTTTAAACAAATATGTTATCGATTTTTCTATGTTTATGTTATAGTTTTACCAAGCTTTACTGAATAATTGTAACTTTAAATTTTATTTAGATTTATCAACATTACGTAATCAATATTTAATTAAAATACCAATAGACGTTGCGATTGTAAACGTGGCCCGTGAAACACCTTTTACAACCGCCCCATGGATCCGGGAAAACAGTGGCGTAAATGTAAGCTTCACTACAATTAGGAGACGACTTAAAGAAGCGGATTTCTGATGTCGCGTTCCTGCTCAAAATCTAGTTATCACACCGGCAATAGCGAAGGCTCGGCTACAATTTTGCCAAGAAAATCTCAATCAGAATTGGCATAATGTCATTCAGTGACGAAAAAACATTTCAAACGTCACAAGATATAATAAAAACAAAATTGTGGCGTGTTGACGGGACACGCTTTGAATTAAGTAACATTTTGCCTAACCGAAGAAGCGGCAGAGTCAGGGGTTTGGGGATGGATGAGCGATGCTGGTCCTGGAGAAATTGTGCAGGTGACACCAGCAAATTTCACAGCTCGGCAGTATGTCCAAGTTTTGGACAAAGTGTTGCTGCCTTCTGTAAACAACCTGTATCCTGTATTGGTTTCAAGAACATCCCAAAATAACTTTATTACGTTGGCCCGCTCGCTCTCCTGACTTAAATCCGATCGAAAACTTGTGGGGTTGTATGGTCAGGGAGTGGAATACGGTTGTTGCCGACATTCCCCACAATGTTGAGGCATTAATGCATAATGTGGACCAAGTGTGGAATAATTTAAGAGGTTTCAATTTGTGCCACCAATTGGTTGACAGCATGCCACGGAGATTGCAGGAAGCCATCATTAATACCAAATACTGATATTTAATTGTATTCTTCTAAATAAATATTTTCTGTAAATATTCTTTCTTTATTATAGTTTTTTGGTATAGATTTTCAATAACTCGTTTATTTATTTTTCGATAATAATTTTTGTGATATTTTTGTTTTAATAATAACAGATACCTAACAAAATATTTTTTATTAAACAATTTCTAAATAAAATGAATTTTAATAATTGCAATAAAATTTTTATTTCACATTTTACAATACGAAGTAAATAAAAGAAGTGAAGTAAATCTAAATAAAAGTCTTAAATAACAGTGTGGTATCCCATATCTATCTGCATAATTGACAGAAATTCGTCATTCTAATCCTTTTATTTTTCACTCATTCGAGGGTGCACGAACCACCCGATATTCGGTTGAAACAATTTTACTGATAGTTATTATAATAATAAAACAGGATGAAGAAAAGTGCAAGCACCGAGGGCGTTTAGCTTTTGAAAATAATCCGATGTCGATGACGTTACTATTTTTTTAATTATAAAATAAAACCCTTATAGAACTCGTTTACACAACATTTATAATTGCAATCAAATATTAATTTGTTACTAATTTCAACAACTATTCAAATTATTAAATTTTAATTCGCCTTCTGTAAATCAACTCACACAATAATTACTTTGTTGCGTTGGAAATCTATAGAAAGTGTGTATATTAATTAGAAAATTAAAATTTTACTTTACCTAAAAAGTTGACACATCAAATAATTCCTAGTCTAATTTACGTAATACAGTTTTAAACATTTTGAGTAAATAGTGAATTAACACATTTTACTGGATTGCAAAGATAATAGCACGAAATCATGCTTCCCAGCCGATGAAACTTTCGAACGAATGTTTGTTGATGTTTATGACCGAAAAGATTTATTGCTGTGGTTTTAAAGCTTCACAAAAAGTAGAAAGTAATGAGGAAACATTAGTTTTGGAATCAGATAGGACTGTAGTCGATGATGATGAAATCCTCGATTTTATACGAGAAAAAGAAAACTTTATGTTACTCGAAAAAGATCAGTATTGGTGTCCAAAGGAAACGTTAAATTTGTCTTTGTCGCTTCCATGTACAGAGACTCTGACATCATCATCATTTGCTAGTAAATTAAATAACACTCCCACTAACGATGAGTCTGATCCCGCAGTCATACATAATGACATAGAGCTGGACGAAACTATTCTCCAGTTTCTAGAAGAAGACGCCATTAGAAAACCCACGAAACGTGGCCACCTTCAAACCGAAGTAAGCAAAATTGGTCCTCCATTTTATTAGAAGGTCTGGCCCCACACGAGCGTGAAAATCTTTTTAACACAGATCCAACTGCGGAAAATTGTAAAGCGCTTAGAGCCCCTCCGATTAACTTGTCCGCACGTGTCCAAGATGGCATTGGAAAAAAACTGGAACTCGGCTCAAACCAAAACCTAAGGACTGGAAGGCTCAAACACCCAGGAAAGACTTTAAAGGAAGCAGGCAACTGTTCCTCCCGAACAGTTCAATGAACACCAGAGGAACACAAACAGCAGGCAGTGCTCTAGGAAATAGAGGTAGGTCCAGTTAGTCATGCAGGCCACTTAAAAGCCTTCTACGACAATTGGCAGGATATTACTCAGAACCGGCTACTTTTGAGCTGGATAAAACGGTACAAGATACCTTTCGTAAAAATCCCAAACGAACATACTTGCCCAAACCCTGTGAAAAATGGCCGCTGCGCTACTCAAATTCGCAACGAATTGCAAACCTTACTTAAACAAAACGCAATCAGTGAATACAAACATCAAATAGGTGAATTTATGTCGTCATATTTTTTGGCGCAAAAACGCAACGGTAAGTACAGGCTTATCTTAAACCTAAAAAACCTAAATAAATTTACATTTTAAATTAGATGATACTAGAACCACCACAAAATTGATATCAAAAAACTGCTCTATGGCAACTGTTGACCTGAAAGATGCATATTTTGTAATACCTATAGCCGATCGGTATAAAAAATTTCTTAGATTTCAATTTAACAATACACTATACCAGTTTAAATGTCTATCTTTCGGTTTTCTGTCGCACCATATATCTTCACAAAAATTACTCCATTATCTTAGATCACAGCACGCCGTGAACTGTGTCATATACTTAGACGATTTTCTTATCATGGGGCATTCTCGCCAAGAATGTGCCAAAAATGTACACATTACCAATGACCCTTTTACAACATCTGGGGTTTGTAATAAATTCTGAAAAACGACAAACATAATTACGATTGAACTTCACAGGTAAGTTCGTTTAATCGTTCAATTCATGTTACTGGAATCATGATATTAATCCAAACAATGTCGACAACGAAGAAGTTAAATTGACTGATATTTCAAATTTAGAAGAAGAAGAATTTTTCGAAACTCTAAAAGATACTATCCTCTGCAGCAAAAACTTTTAAATAATGTAGAATCACCAGCTTCTGTAGAAAAAATAAAAGAAAAATTGTTTATTATATTTAATAAAAAGGCAATTGTTTGGCATTTCAACAAATTAACAGACTCTAATTTTAATATTTTGCAAGAAATGATTAATCGAAAAGTTAAAAATAGTGGACTTTGGAATGCATAAAAAATTAATTAATAACAGAAAGGATGATAAATTATCAATCACTGGATGTGTTGGCACTTTATTTTAAAGCAAAACTCACCGACCTTTACTTCAACTTTGATGTAAGTAACAAAAATAGTGTGAAGACGACGAACTGGTGAACCTAAAAGAAGCGTTAAAAACAACAGCACCATGCATCGTTCAAATAGGTAATCCTAATCTTATGTTATCGTTAAGGCTCGGATTATACAGGGTGATTCTTAAATAAACCGACAAAATTTTATTACAGCTTCCCAAGGATAAATGAAGACAAACTGTACCCTTTTTACGTTTATATCTTTTAGGGGCATAACCCCCTTGATCCGTGCCGCTTACGGCGTTTATGAATTGTTGCAATGTTCAAGTACATTATCAGCAAATTAATACCATGGTTTCCACTACCTGTGCTAATACTATTTACGAAAACATCAGTGGCGTACGTTTTACCTCAAAAATAACTTTAATATAATTTATTTGGAGAACGGTTAAACAAAGAATTTTTTTAATATTTCTTCCAGCATGTACTCATTTAATACTACTAAGGATAAAATTTTGTCGGTCTATTTAAGAATCACCCTGTATGCACTAAAAATTCGTAAAATATGCGCATATGTATACAGGTGTCCTAGAAAAAGTGTAGGAACCGAGGATTGCAGATTCTTCTGCGAAGTATAATGGCGGATTTGAAAGAAAATAATTTCGATCTCAAATAGAATTTAAATGATTAACATTTTAAATTGGCTAATCGTGAGGGATTTTCTAATTATTCTTAGGTATGTTACGTTGCCAAGTTAAATGCAAAAATTGAAAGTTTGGGTTTCTTTGAAAAAATATCTGGTCAACTAGTCAAGGGTCAGTGTCACATAAATTGTCACGAGAAACGTCACTTGTATTTGTCCGTTATTTTTTTCATTCTCGTGGTCTAAATAGTGTTGGTGAAAATGTTTGCTCCTAATGAATACCTTGAAATGGTAATTATGTACGGCGAATGCAATAGAAAGGCCAATGAGGCAACGAGGCAGTGTGCCATACGATTTCCCCAACGGAATCACCCTTCGTCAAATGCATTTCTGCGTTTGATCGCACGTGCTGGAACAACTGGGTCCCTAAGTCCGCAAAAAAAGGTCTTGTTGGCGTGCCACGTACAGCAAGAACACCTGAAGTGAAAGAAATGGTGCTAGATGCTTTTTTACAAGAACCCACAACCAGTATTCGCACGATTTCGAGACTTTATGGCGAATCCAAAAGTTTAGTTCAAAGGGTACTGAAGGAAAACCATCAACACCCATATCATTATACACAGGTACAATACTTGCAACCACAAGATTATCCTGCAAGAGTGGAATTTTGCCAGTGGTTATTGCGTCAACATGCTGACAACCCAAACTTTTTAGACAGAGTAATTTTTACTGTCGAATCATGTTTTACGCGCGATGGAGTTTTCAGCAGTCGTAACTATCATGTGTGGGCTGGGGAAAACCCTAATGCTACGAGGCCAAGGGCTTTTCAACATAGGTTTAGCATAAATTTATGGGCTGGCATCTTAGGAGATCGTATAGTAAGGATAAGTTGTAAGAATGTCATTTACATTATGGAAAAATAAATTGATTTCTAGATAGGACCTGTGGAACTGCCACGTATACTTAATGCGGAAAATTATGCTAAATTACTATTACATAATTTGGAAGATCTGCTAGATAATGTCCCCCTTCAGCATTTGCCACAGTGGTTCCAACACGATAGTGCTCCGGCACATTTTCCAAGAAATGTGAGAGATATTTTACATCACATGTACCCCAATCAATGGAAGGACGAGGAGGTCCTATTCATTGGCTCATTGGCCAGCGAGATCTCCGGACTTAAAGCCTCTTGATTTCTTTTTATGGGGTCATATGCAAAATAACACTTATTCCGAGCCAATCGCAACTTTAGAAGAACTTGACGGGAAGATAATAGAGGCTATAGCCACGATTACACCAGAAATGTTACAAAATACAAGAAGGAGTTTAATTAGAAGAGCCAATCTTTGTATAGAAATGTATGGTGGTCATTTTGAACAACTTCTTTAACGTTTATTTATTGTTCAGTTGGTTTTATTTTATTTGTTTTCAGTTCTCTTTTTTTTATTTATTCGAGCTATTAATAAAAAGTTCTTAGTTGCTTATGTTAAAAAATATTGTTAGTTTATTTGCCCAAAAGACACTAAATTCGTCCTCATTGCTTTAAAATTTTCCACATAACATTGTTACAATTAGAGTTATTGTGATGTAACTTCGGAAGTAATCTTCTCATTGTTATTTTTATTGGGGGCCATAACCTTACCAATCTGGGAAAACTATACCATCGTGTCATTAAGACATAATAACTACACTATAGGTACTACATACATTGAAAGGGCCATTAGGTCTAATAAAGAACTCAAATAGTTTCATAAGATTCTTCTCCAAGATGCAAACCTACTTCTTCACCCTCTTTCGTTTCAATTTTCAATAGTTATTAAAGCCATTTTCCACAAGTTGTGTCCAAACTTTCCAACATTTTGCATTACTTTTAAATGTGTTCCAAGAGATTAAACGAGATTAAAATTTCCAAGAGATCAACGAAGACAGCAGCTTTGGAGAACAATTTGTAACATCGAGCCTGGCGTTCGATGTGAAAATTTTCGTATATGCGAAGATCACTTTCAAGTTTCAGATTTTTTAGGTAGTCGTTCACTTTGTCCTTTTGCCGTTCCAAAAGCTGGTGTCTTCAATGACCGGGTTAATAAAGAACATTCTTATTGTAGAGCTGATGAAGGAATTTCAGAAGTAGAAAATGAAATCTTAGAACATTCCTCTTGTGATGCTACAAAAAGTTCAAACGTTCTTGAATGTCATGTGAGTGAAGAACGTCCTTCATTAGCGAAGCCAGATATAGCCGTGAATGAACAATGTCAAAATTTTGATTTAGTTAAAGGAAATTTGTCAACTACTATTGAGCATAATCAGTCAAATAGTTCATTCGCAGTTACTGATGGTGATACTATTTGTACATCAGTTCAGAAGGGGTCGTATTCTTTTCTCTCAGAGACATTTCAAAATTCTTTAGATATATGTAAACAAAAAGGATCTCTTTCAAAAATTGGCTTAAAAGAGAAGGAACTAACGCCCACTAAACGACTGATGTACAAAATTCATCGTGGCACCTTGGCGAGGATTTCGAAACTGAAAACTGTTTTGTCGAAAGAACGCGATCATTTAAAGAAATTGAAATTTTTATATGAAAACGATAAATTTGAGGTAATTTGTGATTCGTTAAATTTGATAAACAAGGAATTTATTAATTGTCAGTTTCGAAATCATAAACTGAAACCATCAGCAAAACGTCACACAAATGAAATGAAATGGTTTGCGTTATCAATGTACAAAACAAGTCCAAAATTGTACAGATATCTTTAAGTACATTTTGAACTTCCCTCGCCTCGTGTTATGAAACGTTTGCTCAATTCGGTTCATTTTGATCCTGGCTTTAATAACAATTTGTTGAACAGTCTACAGTCTCAAGTAAAGAGCATGGATCCTTTAGATCGTCATTGCACATTGTTGTTTGACGAGATGAAGTTGAGCACTGCTCTTTACTATGACAAAAGTAGACAAGTCATTTTCTGATTTGAAGATTTGGGTCATTTGGGTTGCTCCCTGAACTTTGCGGAACATGCTCTTGTTTTAATGGCAAGAAGTATCCGCAAAAGATGGAAGCAGCCCACCGCGTATTATTTTATCGCGTCCACAATTTCAGCAGTTGCATTGAAAGAAATTATTATTAAAGCCATAGAAAAATTAAAATCATTAGGATTGATTGTTGTTGGTACAGTCTGTGACCAAGGTGCCACCAATAGATCATCGGTGTGCCAGTTGTGTTCTTGGATAAGTGACACCCCTTCAGGTTATCATTTTGAAGTAGACGGCTTCAAAATTAATGTATTTTCGACCCGGTTCATTTATTCAAGAACACTAGAAATGCGCTTATTGAAAATTTTATTGAATTTGCGCCAGGCAAGCGAGCTTATTTTGACCACATTTTAATGGTTTTCGAATCAGATCAGAAAAATAAATTTAAATCTTTACACAAATTAACCCGCCAAGATTTCAATTTTAAAAATTCTTATACGAAAATGAAAGTTTCTTCTGTTGCCACGCGCCAGTTGAGTTATAGTGTTGCCTGTGAGTTAGAAACGTATGTGTCACATAATCAATTACCAGCAAATGCAGTTCACACCGCGGAATTTGTTAATTTAATTGATCAGCTTTTTGATTCTTGTAATGGCAACACAAAATATTTCAAACGCAAGAGCAAACCATTACGATGTGCGATTACATATTGAGTTTTGGTCGGATCTTTTGGCAAAAATAAATAGTTGGAAAATCATAAATAAAGCAACTGGTAAGAATGTTACTAACCAATTTCATTTTATTAATGGATGGAAAGTATAACAATTCGCTCCATAATTGCAATTTGGCAAAATCTTCAAAATTTGGGATTGGAGTATTTGTGTGGTCGTGTTTTGAACCAAGACACGGTAGAAAATTTATTCTGCTGTGTTCGACAACACGGTATCGCAAATACCAATCCCACGTGTTTTCAATTTATGTCTGCTTTGAAAACGTGTGTTCTTAACAACCTAGTTATGCCACACAACTCTTAAAGCAACTGTAAAGATGATGGGGATTCTTTACTTGATAACCTGACTGATCTTTTAAAGGAAGATGTTGAAGATGACTCTGTTTCAGCTACGGATGTAGTGTTTGAAGATAATTCGCTTGAACACCAAGACTTTTTACTAATGTAAACGTGGAAGACATTCAAGGATTGGCCTATGTGTCAGGTTACATTGTCAAAAAAAAAGGCTGTCCCTGATTGTGCTCCATGTAAGAACGCTGTCCATTCCCCAGACGTGACTCCTTCACATATGACTGTAATGTTCTGTGACGATGGTAAACGTCTTGTTTATGCATCTGAGAGTTTTATTAATTTTGTTAACGACACTAATGAACTTTTGTGTTTATTTTTGAAAACATGTGCGAACAAGAATTCTTTGGAAGATCAATTTAAAGGTTTTTGTTTGTCGAAAGACACTTTTCAAAAAAAATTTACGTGTCCAGTTCACAGCACTCACATGTTGAATGAGTTTTTTAAAATTACAATTCCGTTTTTAATTTTTAAATATGTTAATAAAATTAACAAAGGATCGCAACATGCTGCGACTCGCGCTTTGAAAAAACATGTTTCAAAGATCCAGAAGTTCAATAGTTAATTTTGCTTTCGATATTTTATTTTATTTTGTTTTATTGTTATTTGTATATTTTATTAGAATATTTTTTTTATCAGAATTTATGTTTTGTTGAGAAAATGTTTTGTTAAATTTGTTTTTATTTTGTTGTTTTTAGGATCGTTTTTGTGTTTTATTTTTTTCAGAATCTACTTTTATTTTACTTTTTTTTGGGTGTACGGGAAATGTAGGAGAAGTACCAAAATTTCTATTGGACGATCACGTTTTATATTATAAAAGAGCTTCAACAGATAGGGCTTTTCTACGTATTTCCAACTCTCACCTATGACTCCAAGAAGTTATCTTTTAAGATGGCGGTCACACTCCGGTAAACTGTGTTGATCCACAGGCTGAACTAGGTGAGGGGATTTCTACTTATTGTGAAAAAAGCAAAGGTACGTTTTCTTTTTTTTTTCTTCTAATTGTTAACGTTATATTATTTTCGGTTTCTGAATGGCGAGAACAATTTATGGAAAATTCATCAGCTTTTCACAACTATCTTCTACTTATCATTAAAATTTCGATTAGATGAAGAAAATCACGTTTGTGCCTTCGTAAACTATCCTATGAAACTGGAAAGTATTTTTTTAAACGGAAAATGTGTTTAAACGACTATTGAAATTAAGTTGTACATGTAAGAATTACGTATTACGTAAGTATTTTATGTATTAGTAATAAAATTGGAATTTTATAAAATAGTGTGTCACTTCCTTAATCCCAATATAAATATATTGATTTTAGTTTTTTATACAAACTTTGATTATACTTACTCAATTTTTGTATAAAATTAATAATGCAAACTATAATAAGTACAGAAAATACCCAGATATTCAAATTACGCGGGGCATTCCAATATGGCGCTTAGTTACACACCCGACCACAAGAGGCGCAATCAGCATAATTTGTTTCCTTAAATTAACACGGCGCTGTCGCTTCTTTATCTATCTGTTCTGTGATCTAAATTAAAAACATTGCCACTTTCGCTTGCCGTTCGAGTTGTTCTCCGTCTCCTTCCGTATAGTTTCGTTCAATCTTTAAAAAATCTGTCTTTTTCAAGACAACTTGGTTTATTTTTGTGTTTTATAAGGTGAGGAACTTTATTTAATTTTTTCATTATTGTCTTTTTACTTTGACCTACTTAGCGTAACAAATTCTCGGCATACTTCTTATGGAAATGTTAATGTTAGGACCACTCAAATTGGATAATTTTTATATGATTACGCCAAACGTGTGCTTTGTCCGCTGTTGGAGTAAAATTTGTAAAACATTTTTTTTTGCAGAATTGCATTATGAGTAAACTCTCGAATAAAATTATTCATAGTCAGGCTCGTGAAATAATTTACAATGTCTTTCGACTTATAAAAAGAGAGAAAGAAGCAAAGGACTTTCTAATAAGCCCAAATTGCTTATTTGAGCGGTTATCACAAGCAACCGGTACTTAAGTTAGTTCTGCGAAACGAATTGTAAAAGAAGGCGATTCAAAACCTGAAGGAGCGATGTTTCCCTCTCCCGGGAAAAATTAACAAAAACCACATCCGAAAACTACCGTCGATCATTTTGACGAAGAGATGATTCGTAACGTAATTTATAATTTAACTACAATTCACAAACGAAGACCATCTATGGAAACGGTTTTTGCAGCTGTTAAAAAAGAGGGTGATAATTTGTCCGGAAAATTATCCTCATTCAACTATTGTGAAAAAACTTAGATTTGTTTGAAAAAAAATCAAATCACAATAGGAAAGTTTTAATGGAAAAGCGCGAAA